GGACCCTTCCCTGTGGCCGGCGGTGGCTGCCCTCCAGGCCGTGGACCAGACGGTGGACGGGCACGGCGTGCGCCTGCTGTGCCTGGAGGGGAGGGTCGCGTCGGCGGAGGCGAAGCTGGTGGGCTGCCAGAGGACGGTGGCGGAGGTGGAGAACCAGCTGGAGAGCAAGTGGGCCGCCCTGGCGCAGGAGTACGCGCGGCTGCAGCGGCGGCTGGAGAACGTGGAGAGCCTGCTCAGGAACCGGAACTTCTGGATCCTGCGCTTCCCCCCGGGCGCCAAGGGGGAGACCCCCCAGGTCAGAGGCCCTGGCCCCGCCGGTCGTGGCCTGCTGGCGCGCGACGCGGCCTTTGGCCGTGCTGTGCCTGCCGCCGGCAGCCGCTGAGGGGTCCGGCTGGTCGGAACCGGCCGGCGGTGCCTTTCAGGAGACGGACAGATGTGCTGGGTACGCAGTGCCAGCGGGATGAAATGCACACTGCGGTGCCAGAACACGCTCCGCTCTTCTGTACTCAACGTTGCAGGGCAGAGTTTGCCTTGTGATGTGCATGTTGTCATTCCCAGCCCTCTGTAGATGCTGCTTTGTCTTAAAGTAAGTTTTCGTGGTTCTGAAAGCGATATTAGCAGCGCCAGAAATCCTGGCTCCTCCTCATACTGTGACCCACCCTTGCCTCCTTGCCTTAGAGTTGCTGGAGGCAAAGAGACTGCCTCTATGTGCTTCAGCATCAGGCTGAGTCATATGTTGTTGGTCTGCAGGCCTGAATTATTGGCACATACTACAGATTTTCACATTTCCTTTGTGAGTTTCCTCTTTTAATCAGCTTCCTAGCATGCTAAAGACCTTTGAAACACCTGTTTATCTAAATAATCAGAGGGAGCCAGTAGGCTTTTGTGTGCTAAAGATAAAATACTGCCTTTTTTCTGTCAGTGCAATTTACCCAACAGGTATTTCTCAAGTTCTTGTTAAGCGTACAGGATTTGGAGGCCAGAGAGTTGTGAACCTGTAACTGTTGTTTCTTCCAGGTTCCGGTAACCTTTGATGATCTCTCTGTTCATTTTAACGAACACGAATGGGGGGACCTGGATGAATTGCAGAAGGAGCTGTACAAGACGGTCATGAGAAGCAATTATGAGATGCTGGTCTCAATGGGTGAGAGCACGAGGAGGTGTTGTTCTTATTCTCTTTGGTTTATAGTAATTATATCCTAAGAGCCACTAGGCTTGAAGAGATCTGCTGTGATGTGATCCAGCAGGGACCAGTAGCGGCATCTTTAAATCAGAATGGGATAATGGTCTTCCAGACACAGCTGGCCTGCCACTTGGGGATCCTCCTGGACTTATGGCTCCTGCTTAAACAACAGGTGGAGGCTGCAGCCAGGAGGGCTTTTGTATAATTATAGCTTATGTGCCAGTTGTGGCCTTTCCTGGAGTAGGAGGCTTTACTCATAGTCACTCATGTCCTTGTCACTGTGTGGTTGGGTTATTGCGGTGCGCGCTACATGGGACTATCCTTGAAGAGTACCTCGAAGCTTCACCTGATGCAATGTTAGCCTGGGTAGTTAGGGCTCACTGAGGTTAGCCTGCTTAACCCACTGCTGCACCACTAGCACTCAGCTTCTAGGTGCAATTCAAAGTGCTGGTTGTCACCTTTAAAGCCCTTCATAGATCAGGGCCTGGATAGCTCTATGACTGCTTTCTCTGAGTTGAATTTGCCTATCAAGTAAGATTTGGAGGAGGATCCCACCACTAAGGAAATGAGGGCTTGAGCCTTCTTGGTGATGGCTCCCTTCCTTTGGAACAGTTTACCCTGGATCACCTCTTCCTTGCCACATTTGTGGAGAGCTGTGAAAGAAGGATTCATCAGAAAGGCACTTGGGGAGGAGTAAAATCCTACTACAATGAATGCATTACAATCGTGTTGGATTAATTGTAAGTGTAATAATTATTTTTGGTTTTACAGGGAGTCCTCACTTAGTGACCACTCGTTCAGTGACCATTCAAAGTTATGACAGCACTGAATGAGGAGACTTACGATGAGTCCTCAGAGTTGCGGCCAATGCAGTGTCCCCGCAGTCATATGATTGCGATTTGTGTATTGGTAACTGGCTGCAATTACAGTAGTCACAGCGTCCCACAGTCATGTGACTGCCATTTGCAACCTTCACTGCTGGCTTCTGACAAGCAAAGTCAGTGGGGAAGCTGACAGGAAGTTGCACATTGCAGTCACATGACATTGCACTTAAGGGTCATGTGTGATTCGCTTAACAACCGCAGCTGGAACTGCCGTTCTAAGTTGGTGTAGTTGCATGATTTTTCGCTTTAAGACCACGTCACTTAGCAACAGAGTTCCCAGTCCCAATTAAGGTCATTAACTGAGGACTGCCTGTAATTGTATTATAGTAATACTGTGGTTTGCTTAGAGTCTCCAGGAATTCAGTGCAGTATAAAATTAAACAATGAATAAATTGTGGCCACCCAATTTGTGGAGACTCTGGGTAGAAAACAGTGATTTCAATATATAATAAATTAAAATAATCACAGTGATAATAACAACTATTACCTGTGACAACCACCCAGCACAACTAGGGGCCAAAATCCTGCTTGAATAGGATCACTTTAACTTGCTTCCAGAAAACAAGGAGAAACTGGCTGTACTTTGGGGAGGGGCAAGGTATCCTATAGAATGGGACCACCAATGACAAGGCCTGTCACCTGGTGCACACCCTGTTACACCTTGCAGAGAGGGCAGTCCTCAACAGGCCTTTAAACATCTGCATCCGACAGGCAAATACTGTTTTTGGCAAGGCATTGCCTGATGTAATCCCACTTCTTGTGATATGGCACGTAGCAACTTTGTCTTTTTCCATTTACCATTTTTTCCCTAAAAATTTTATACACACACAATTAACAAGTTTTTTTCCGTCTATCATCTGGATAGATTATGCGATTGCAAAGCCTGAGATCCTGACACGGATTGAACAAGGGGACTCCTTGTGTGACACAGACATTGGAAGCACTCCTGCCAGCAGCGTGCCTGGACACCTTGTCACAGGTACATTTGCTGTCTCCTGAAATATACAGCTTAGTTTTTTCCTTCTTTTTTATCATCTTCTCATAAGAGGTACATTGCTCTCAGTTTTAAGCATGTGGAAAAAGTTTATAAATGAAGGCTGCTTACAAGGGATCCAGATTAGGATGGGATCAGACATTCTTGGAAAATGTATGGGTCAATAAATGTTTAGGCCCCAGGGTCTTGACCTTGTGATTTACAACAATCTTTTTCTGTCCTCCATTCAGACTCCCCTGTTGCTCCAGTGGATGTTTCTTTGTGGCTGAAAGAAGAAGTCGAAGAGCCTCAAGATGGGAATGCCAGGCCTCCTGAGGAGATGAATGCTGGTCTTCACAAGGGTGAATACCAAGTGTCCTGGAGTTGCTTCTTAGTTGTTTGGCTTACAAGGAGGGAGCTCATCCCTGACAGGCTTTCTTCTTACCATTGCTTGGTAGGAGATGTACTGAATTGCTAGAAGGAAGGCTGCTTCTTCAAAAATTGTTGATCCAGGAAAGGAGCATTCCAGAATGATGTTGCCCTCTGGACTGTGCCAGCCTGGAATGTCATAGTCTGGAGTGAAATGGGCCATTTCAGAATTCTCTGAAATATTTCATTCCTGTATTGTAGAGTCTTGCATATCCCTACTGCTTCTGCCCTAACCCTAACCCTAATTTGAACTCCTTGTAACCTCCTTTTTCTTGATTCCTTTGTGGCAGCTGCAATCTTGCTTTCTACCAAGGTTTTTCTTCTTTACCAGCCCCCTCCACCCCCATCCCTAAATATCTTTCTATGACCTCTTAGGCCACGTACTTCAGGTTGGTATCCAGCGGGCCTTTCCCTTCTCCAGCTCTATCCAACCAACTTTCAGTTTATCTCAGCTTGTTGCCAACCATCTTCTCCTTCACCCTTATGCCATAGGTGGGGTCCTTCTCTCCTGCCTTCTCATTCCTGTTTCTGTACGCCTCTTCCAGTCCGTGAGACTTCTTGATGTCAGAGAAGAGCAACACCCCTGACTTCCCCTCTCCTGTGCTCAGGTTCTTCAGTGGAGTTGATGGACATATCCTCAGGGATTAAAGAGGAGATGGAGGAGGTGTGCTTGGATCCTGGGGAATCCCAAAAAGAGGAGGTGCACCACAATGCTAGCCAGGGTAAGTTCCCTTTTTCTCTTGACAGCTGCATGCTTTAAGTTCTGCCAGGCTGTGGTGATCAACATTTTCTCCAGTTGGTTAATTGTTGTTATATTAAGCTAATATAAGATCCCCATACCTCTTCCTGTCCTCATTCTGTGTTTGGGTCAGCATCTCTGACAATCCTCAATCTCTGTGGGTGTGGGTGTTTCAGATATTATGTATTTCATCCAGACAATAACTGGACAGCCCTTATATACTTGGGTTTTTTTTTCCCTTCCTGTACAGAATATCAGGCTATTACAGTTTCTGAAGAACATCTCTGGAGACCTCAGGAAGGCCAGTGTGTTCAGGACCCATTCTTCTTTGGTGAAGGCCCTAGCTCTGGTAAGAGGAGACTTTTTGGTTGTTGTGATGCCCCTTTGAACTTGATGGTAGTTTCTTTGTGGAGATATGGCCTTCCTGCTGAATGAACTAAATAATTCCACCTTGTCATCACTCCATATTATAGAATAGGAAACTGGAAGTCCTGGTCAAATAAAGCCAGTAGAATGTCAAGGAGTGGAGTTTTGGGAAGGCAAGATCTGCTATTGGAAGCAGTGGCGGCTTGCAGAACTATAGAGCTAGGAGGGGTCAGTTTTCTTTAAGTCGATTTGGTCATTCGATTGTGTACCATCAAGTTGGTGTTCACTGTTAGCAACCATATACCTTCTCCAGCATGATCTGTCCCCATCCTGGCCCTTCAGCTCTTCCAGTGACGGAACCATGACTGCTGTAACTGAGTCTGTCCACCTTGCTGCTGGTTGTCCTCTTCTTTTTCCTTCTGTCTTTCCTAGCACTATGAACTATTCAAGTGAGCCGAGTCTTTGCATAATAAATGCCCAAAATATGATAATTGTAGCCTGATCATTTGTGTCTCGAGTGAGAACCCTGGATTGATTAGTTTGATGATCCATGTATTTGTTTTCTTGACTACTCATGGTATTCCTAGGAGTCTTCTACAGAAGTTCAGAAGCAACGATATTCTTTCTGTCCTGCTTCTTCAAAGACCAACTTTAGCTTCCATAGAGTGCCACAGGGGAAAAAAAAACATTGGTTGCAGGATTCTCACCTTTGTGGATGTAGACCACTGTGGAATCTGAATATCTTCTCCAAGGCCTTTTTGCTCGCCTACCAAGTGCTAGTCTATAGCATATTTCTTGATCGCTGGTTCCTTTCATTGTCGCTTGTAACGCTATTGTCATTAGTTTGGTTGTTTTTTATAGTTAATTGTAGTCCCATTTTTCCCCTGTGTTTCGTGACTTACCTTACTACAGCTTTGCATTACTTTGCATTTCAGTTATCAGAGTAGTGTAATCAGCATAGTACAGGTTATTGATGTTTCTTCCTCCAATTTTAAAACCACACTCATCTTCTTCCAATCCAGCCTCCCTCAATATATATTCAGCATATAAATTAAATAAATAGGGGGAGAGTATACAGCCTTGTCTCACTGCTTTGCCAACCTGGAGCCAGACTGTTTCACCATATTCTGCCCTTACTGTGACTTCCTGACCTGTATCCGTTTTGCATAAGGACCATACAGTAAGATCTTCTGGGATTCCCATTTTCCTAAGGACATTCCACAGACTGACATGGTCAATACAATCAATGGCCTTTCTGTAATCAATGAAACACATATTGACTTCTTTTTGGTATTTTTTGTTCTTCTCTATTATCCAGTGTACAGGTAGTCCTTGGTTAATGACCACTTCTTCAGTGACTGTTCAAAGTTACAATAGCACTGAAAAAGTGACATGATTGGTCCTCGAAGTTCCAGCCATTCCAGCACCCCTGCAGTCACATGATTGTGAGCTGGGCGCTCGGCAGCTGGCTTGCGCTTACGATGGCTGCAGCGTCCCATGATCACATGATCGCCATTTGGAACCTTTCTTGCTGGCTTCCCCCAAGCAAATCAATGGGGAAGCTGGCAGGGAAGGTCGCAAGTCACACCTGTAAGCTGCTCCCGCCACTTTCTCGCATGCTCTCCTGAGCACCTGTCCCCTGCCCGGCCAAACTCGCATCAGGCTGCAGCAGCCACCTGCACACACTCCCGCACTCTGGAGCATCACCCTTATGACCTGTGCCTGGCTGCGCTTGCGCCGGATTTCAGCACCCACTGTCAGGTTCAGCCCAAAGAACTCCACGAGACAGTACAGATATAGTTCTATTGCATTTATT